ATGACTATATCCCCCAGCCGACTGCCCAGTCCTCGCCGTGGTGAACAATCCCCAAATATTACCAATTACAAATTGTACTGCAGGAACAAAGTGGGGTAGAAGACAATGGCAGGGCTGAATGCATAGATATGCATCCTGAAATAACACCCCCTGCCTTATTTGGTGCCAAAAACGTACTTTTATCTCATCTGCTGTTTTCCAACTCGTGTTGCACTTCCTGCCTGACGAGAGGGGCCCTGGCCATGCCAAGCAGCACTGACAGCACGCCTTGCCTGTGCCAGTGAAATGTTATCACAACCCCACCTGGATCTTACCAAAACATGCTCATTTGTAAAGGGTTTAAGGAGCTGAGTCTGTTGACTGATGAAACAAAGAATGTTTTGAATTAGGAAAAAAAAAGGGGTGATTGCTGAACAAGTTTTATAGAAGCATTAAATACTGGTCACAACTTGATTTTATGTAAGTGCCTTACAATAGATTTCAAATTACTTGAGGGGAGAGACAACTAGAAATCCAAATCTCAGTTTTACTCTTTCAGGATGAATAATCAAAAGGGATAAAATATAAATTCTCACTGCTTGACAAAAACAGAATATTCTTAGATACTACTTAAACGTCCTTGCTGGCCGGTACAGAATGGTAACAGGCAATACCATTTGATTAGTTCAGCTTTTTACCTGCATCACGATACCACCAAGCATCCTCACACCACTAAGATGCTTTCTGCATGGTGGCAGAAGTTTATTACTCTTCCTTTCACCACCCTGTCCAACTTTATTGAGAGACTTTGTGTGCACTGCCAAGAGGCTAAAACAGAAGGTAGCACTGAGTTACCCTCTACCTTCTTCACCGCTGGAGTACAAAATGCTCCAAGCACAACTCTGAAGCAAAGCCCCTCTGAGACAGACCCCATGTGATGTGCCTGGGGCCCGGAGAGGCAGAAGCTCCTGCAGACGGAGGACACTTGCCCATCGCCAGCTCCTTGTCACCACGGGGCAGGGTGAGGCACACGGAGCTGCTCCCCGAGCAGGACTGAGCTGAGCAGAGAGGAGTGAAGCATGAGATCAGTGTCACGATTATCAGGACTGCTGATGACTATCGCGGAGACTTATAATTGCCATTCCGCAACAGCAATGTCACCGGCTAATGATAACTGCTGCATAGATGGCAGGAGAAGACAAGAAAACAGTGCACCTAAGCATTTTTAAGCCAAGCGAGGTTTAATTCTACCAGCCCCAACTATTTTTAGAGACTTGATTAGACACAGGGATATTAAACTTTACTCAGTAGTAGCTACTGACCCGAAGAAGTTCCAGTTTAGAAGATGGTTGCTTTAAAAGGAGTTTTGTAGGTGAGCAGGGACTCATCAGAAATTCACCTCTGCAGATACGCTCCATCTCCCTCCCATTACATCTACTGTACTATTTAGGGGCTTTTGTTCTACTTGTATGTTAAATGACAAATTATAGCACAGAAGAAAGGCACTTGCCAACAAAAGCTCAAGCACTCTCAAGTTCACTTATTTTCAGGCTGCGTCTTCCAACAAACGCAGGAAAAATATTGAGAAGTGTTATTCAAAGGTGCCTTTCAAACCACACTAACACATAGATTCTGAGTGCCCTAACTGAACTGCTCCTACAAGGGCAATACAAAATACAAAAAGCCTTCAAAAAAATGGCTTACAAGAGTTCCAAGAAGGTCTTTCTGAAAACAGCTAAAAATAAAGTAACACCATTAGATATCTGAACATTCTTCATAAGAAGATACTCAGTTTTCCCTTTCTTAGGAAATACTATAAAGAGCACAGGAGCAACGTATCCTTATCATACCCTGCCCTTGAAAAATCAAAGTTCCAAGTTCTCTCTCATATTTGTATCTTAAAAGGAAATATTAGGGAAAGGAGAATTTTGACAACCTCTCTTCCCCTTCCTTTCCCTGTTTCGCTTGTCCAGTTATCTGCTACCTCTTTACATAAGATCAAGTGCACTGGCAAACAGAGACACCTACATTTATCAAAAAGCACAGATTAGAGCTGCTGTTACAGACACAGATCATGCACTTTCTCTAACAAATCCTCTGGGATCCTAGCACAAAAGCACAGGTTTATGCGGGGGTGGGGAGGAGAAGGGCAGACCTAGTTCATGAGTTTTCCTCAGCTGTTCTAGCACGATTCAGTGAAGTGTACCAATGATTATGCAACAACAGCAAAGCCCAGAAGGAAAAACTAACACTCACCATATTTTCTTCATTTGCATTAAGCTCTCTCCTACATATTACATACAAACTTACATGGGGGATTAAAAAAAAAAAAAAAGTCTGTCCTGAATCTAGCTTGCAGGCTGAGTTTAAGTCCATAATTATAGTTTAATGTCACTTCTTACTCAACAGATGACCCAAACCTGGAAGGGGAAAAATAAGTAAAAAATAAAAATAGAAACACACCTACAACACAAGCAAAACAGAACATTACCTCCAATTAAAAGACAGGTAAACTTATTTAGCTGGCAACCCTCTGAATTGAGAGGGAAAAATAATAGAAAATCCAACTGACCAACCACTCCACCACACCAAAAAAAGAAAAATCCTTAATCTTCTGGATGAACCCATACATACCTATTATCTTCTGTTTACTTTCACAAAGATGGAATATATTGCAGCCTATCTTTGGCTTAGTCTTGGAACTGAAAACAGAAAAGTTCTAGAGCAATGTCTCTTTCAGATACACTACTGTAAGTCTTAGGCACCAACTCTAATAAAGTAGTATTTCAGTCCTGAATTAATGTATGTCATACTCTATATGAAGAGGAGAGCACAGCAACAACATAAATCTATAAATCTATAAATCTTTTATAAATCTACCCATCTGGAAACAGACGGACAGATTTCCTCTGTCTACATGTACTGCAGTCAGAAAGGTATCCTAGCCTTTCCAGGTCTGTTCTGCGTGTGGTAGTGAACACTGATGAGGGTAAAGGAAGGAAGGACAAAGAAACGAGCTATGTTTGCTATTTTGTAGCTTTTAGCATAAAACATGTTCATGTCTTCATACCAAATAAGAAAATATATTCAAACTGAGACTTCATACTAGCGCTTGCTTAAAATCCTCCCCGAGTCAGAAGCCATGCTTTATAGTGAGAAGCAAAGAGAAGGGCCTCCTTACCCATACATCATCCCAGCAAACACTTCTGGGTAGCTGTTTGTAAATGATACGTCACATAAACATACTAGGACATTTCAAGACTGCAAAACAAAGGATTTCAAATCGTCAAGATACAGCAGCAACACCAATGAACAGATGCTTCAGGAAGTCTCTAGGATATGCAGATCATGCTAAGACCACTTTCCAAGCAATAGGCAAAAGAAACCACACAGTTCTGCAGTCAGCAGGAAAACTGTCCCAAAGAAACTGCCTTCAAAATTGACAACCGTATCGCCATGGGATGACGGCTTGAATTTTAACTAGCATGTTCGATATACGCAGCGTATCCTCAGGGTCGTATGCTGTACGACTTTAACGTTCCCGTTATGCCCATGAACTTTCCCATTTCCAATTAATATAATACACACAACACCTTGAAAATTAACCCTCCCTTCCGGGAGGATTTTTTGCTTAAAGGCATAAAGCAGACTTTTAAAAAATATACCTGCCACTGCAAATACTATGTGGACTTCTTTTAAGGAGCAAATATAAACAGATTTTTAAAACAGCATATCTGGAAAAGCTTGAGCTGTACCAGGCAAGGCAATTTCGAAGCAGTGCAACGCTGCGACAGTTCTAGCCCGGCAGACCAGGATCTAGCTTGCTGCTGCCACCATCTCCTTAAGAAGAACTGGAAGCTCACCTAGAGTATCCACAGAAACTTTGTGCATCTCGGAAAGGCACATGACAGGGTACCAAAAGGCATATTATCAGAGGCTTCAGCTCTTGTAGCCTAACAAAAAGAGCGCTCCGTCTGGGTCAACACTGACATTCTGACTAATCGGGAGTCTGACCAGACTCCAGAGCTGTGTGTTGCCATTCCTTTTTTTCCTTGTTTACATGGACAAGACCTGCGGATGCAGCCTGGGCAGAAGAGAGGGAAAGAATTTTAGGAGGGCTGTTCATATTTTGCACTCAGTAGATTCATTTCCTCCCCTTTCCAAGGTCTAAGCACACACAAAGATCTGACAGCTGTTTTCTTGCAGGAAGTGCAGTAGCCAGGATGAAAATCAGTGTATTCAAGGACAAGACTAGAGCCTTCCTTAATATTTCAGTTCAGTCCTTCATCTCGATGAGCCTATGAATGCTAACAAGTAAAAATAAGTTCAATAATCACTGCAAAACAAGCATGCAGGGGAGGGAGGGGGAACCTACAGGTTCTGTAATTAGCTTTGCTAGCAGTAAATGAAGAGCCACATAATCAAGAAACACCGGGTATCGCTATTTCTGTGAAAAAGGCTGCTTCTGTTTCCCTGTTTCCCTCCGTTCTCAGGCAGCAGAGAAGACAGTTGCTGTTTCAAGGACCAGAAGACCTACTCTTTTGAGATGACCTTCATGCCAAACTTCTTAGCTTTGCGTCCTGACAGTTTTAAGTGGAGATGACTTAGAGATGCATGCACTTTTACAGGAAGTTTGTTCACACTCAGAGTTTGGCTCTAGCAGCTACACTCACAGCACAAATCAACACTGCTCTGAACAGACGTGCCTCCTTCACCTCATACTAAACCGAAGCGATCCAGACACATAATGCCAAAAAAGCATTGTTTCTGATAGCACCAAGCATCGATTGAGAAACTCCATTGTTTAACACACAATAAATGTGCAGCTACAGTTTACGAAACGTTTCGGTACGCTCGGCATCTCCGTGCAGAAACACAATGCATCCGTGCAGGGCACCTGGAAGAGAAACACCCCCCGTGCCCACCGCCTTGCGGGGTTCCCCCACGCCACAACACCCGCGTTATCAGGCTCATCGCCAGCGTAATATCGGTACGTTTGGTAGTTAATAAGACGTGCTTACCTGTGTATCCTGCCCACCAGCCCCAGGAAGCCACCATAGCTAAAAGCCATTTAAACAACACTCCTTCGATATACCAGAAGAGCTTACTATCCAGCACTCGGAGCGGCTGCAGCACAATTAAATACAAGACGTAGGACGGAATAGCAACCAGGTTATTGGCGACCATAAAAGCGAACCTGAGGAGTGCTTTCAGCAAGGTACAGCCCACCCGCTGGGCCTGCTGGAAAGTCACGGCCATCCTCTTCACTGCGGGACCGTCCTGCAGGGGAAGGCAAAGGGGGGAGCAGGTGAAGGCTCCGCGTTGGGCACGGGGCACAGGGGGCTCCTGCCCGCCCGGCCACCGCCGCTGCGGGGGCACGGAGGCAGCGGGGCAGCTCCCCAGCTCCGCCCGGCGGCGGCAGCAGCCTCCCCGCCTCCCTCCTTCCTCCCTCCTCCTCCCTCCCCGGCGGCGGGACCCCGGCCTCCCTCCATCTTCCCCCCCGCCTCCTCCGCGAAGGTCACGGGCGGCCTCTCGCTGCCCTGCCCTGCCCGGCGCTGCCGAGCGGAGCCGGGCCCCGCACCGCACGGCGGGGCCTCGCTCACCTCCGGCAGGGCGGCGGGGCGGGGGTGGCGGCGGCGGAAGCGGCGGCGGGGCTGGGGGAGCTGGGCCCGCTGGCGGTGGCGGTGGCAGAGGCAGTGGCAGTGCCGGCCGGCGGCTGGCGGCCGCTCATGGAGCCGGAGGCGGCGGGCTACGGCTGCTCAGCCCCGCGGGGAGGGAGAGGAGGGAGAGGGAGAGAGAGAGAGAGACAGGGGGCGGGCGGCGGGGAGGCGGGAGCGGCGGGCCGGGCGGGCAGGCGCAGACCGCGGGAGCACCTCGGTTCTCCCCAGCCGGGCCTCGGCTGCCCTGCCCGGAGCTGCCCTTCCTGGTGCTGCCGTGCCCGGTGCTGCCCAGCCCGGTGTTGCCCTGCCGCGCGCACAGGGAGCCCCCTGCACCTGTTGGGGCCGCTCGGCCCCCGGTCCCCACCCACGCGGGTGGGTTAGGGCTTGGTGACCCCCTTAGTTAAGGGATGGGGGCTCTGTGGGGCAGAGGCACCTGCAGCTCACTCTCTGGCTTGGCAGGGCTCCGTGCTATCGGTCTTGCCAAGGGCAGCAGCCAGGCGGTGTGTGCTGCTGGCTCTACAGGCATAGGTGCACAGGGTGTGCTTCGTATCCATCGAAACCTTCAGCTTTTCCTCTCAGCCGTCACCTATTTCCTCTAGGAACGCACCGCAGCCGTCCCCAGGGGCTGTCACAGCGACAGCGGGCCCAAGACCCTGTGCCCCAGCAGGGCAGGCCGGGCCCCCAGTGCTGGAGGCTTCACAGCACCCTCCTCACAAACTGCTCCACACCACTGAGGAGCGTGGCCTTCCATGAATGAGGAGCATCCCTTACTGCAGTCCCCTGTCCTTTCACTGGGCACGTCTGGCAAAAAAATCTCACCCTTCTCCCACTGCTGACCTCCTTCAGCCATCTCCAGGCTGACCAGGCCCAGTTTCCCCAGCTTGGTTCAAACATTGTAACGCTTCCACTGAGCTGAGCGGTTTGTGCACATAATTTTAACTTGGCTTGATTCTCGGGGAACAGACACAGGATGGAACAAATAAATAAATAAATATACCTCAAGAAGGATATCTCTGCTGGAACATCTTTTGCACTGAAAAATAAAATTTTCAAACTGTAGTATTTAGACTGAAACACATATCGCTTTCACATCCAAACCGTACTATGTGTAATGCTAGTCTACCGTTTCCCAGACACCGAGTCTTCAGAGATGGCTGTACCATCAAGGAAATTAAAACCAAACCTCCACTCCAGGGAGAAAACAAAGATGTTATTGCAGATCAATCTCATTTCAGAATTTGAAAACACAAACAACCAAATAATGTCATCGTGTTCTGTTCGAGCAAAACAAAACAAAATTGCTGACCTTCTTGACAAAAAGGACGAGTCTTGCATTAGCAGTTCCAACTCTGGGTGTTTTGCTCTGATACTTTTATTACTAGGTTAAATCTGACAGTGCACTCAGTCAACTTTAGCTGTTCTGAGGTGTTATCAACTTCCGTAGGACTCGAGTTTTTTTCTTTTATAACACATGCAAACAACTCAGAGCATATACTTGAGCTTACTCTCAGCAAAATGTCAGTCCAAACTCCTCAAGATAAAGGACAACTGTTAGGTAATAATTAAAGTTACATTTTAATTTTTACATCCCAATAGCAAAATGAAGCCTTGTTTGGATATTATTCCAAAATAAAAATAAGTTATAATTCATGTTTTTCATATAAAATCTGGTTGCTCTTTTTATTCTGTTTTAATCACTGCACAATTTTTAATAAAATCCTGATATATGATGCTTCAAAATGAGAGAGTCCGCAGCATTTATGTTAGACAACTAACGAATTAGGTAATTTGTACAGCAGAAAGGAATTGCACATGGGGGAGCAGGCGTACAAAGCATTCTTTGTCATCATGATGGCCTTAAAGCTTAGGAAGCTGTGGTTTAACATTTTGCTGAATGAGCTAGTAGCAAAGACCCACCCTTAGTCCTCATTTCCTGACCTTCATGTGGACAAACCATGTTCTAGGAAGCTCACTCAAGAAAATAGCCCTTACAGATCCCGAGGTGCCTGCCATCCAGTCTGGGGCTCTGAGGAAACTTTTCTGGTATAAAGTAACACCTCTGTGCATATATGTGCCATTACTGGAAATAAAAAAGGGGAAAAAAACAAACAACAAAAAAACCTAAGTGAACTTTTTTCATTTGGTTGATAGCTGTTAATGCTGAAGCTCTGCAGTTTCACAAGAGGTTTGTTGTGGTTTTGCTTTCTTCTTTTTCTTGTTTTAAATTCAATTCCTCGAGGCAATTCCTCATAATTTCTAAGAGATTGTGAGTTTTCTTAATGTGTAATTTGTCATTTAAAAAGGATTTAAGATTAATATAAGCAACTCTTGATTTGTGGCCTTTTTAACCATTTCTCTACAGTTTACACATTTTTCAACTAAATAACTTACTGTAGCTATGTCTTCTCAGCCCAGAGGATGATAATAACAAAGATGTCGATACCGATCTTTGGAAAAACATGTTTTAATGTGCTTATTAACTGTTAGAAATATACAGATACCAACACTGGTAATATTAGGTGGTTAAATGATGTCAGGCATAGCTGGAGCAGAAACTTCACTACTGGAAGTGTCTCCTACAGCCTCCAAGAAAACCTATGGGAAAAAAAAAAAAAAAAAAAAGCGAGAGAAAAAGGTTAGACTTATTCCTGCCTATTAGATGGAAAAACCGTGTTGTTATGGCAGTGGGAGTGTTACACAGTAATAAACAAACACATCTGTTACACTCAGACAGTTATGTTAAGAAGTTAGCCTAACCAGCCTATAAATGAGTGCAGGCAAGCTGCCTGCAAGGTTCTGAATTCACCAGGCTGGCTTTGATCACGGTATCTGGCTACAAGATGCAAGTCAGTTTTTACTCATTAACCCCTTGAGAGACTTTAGCAGAAGATAAGTGTTTTTTTTTGCCCCTGGTTACCCTTGAAGAAGTCCCTGGCTGCCGTTCGAGGGCAGGCATTTGCATTGCAACGCTGCCGTCGCGTTAGAGCTGCCTCCAAGCATAGCTGCGAGGAGAGAACACACTGCGGACGTTCAGGCAAGCCACATGTCATGGAGGCATGGATCGCCATAATGAAATCCAGGTTCAAAGCTGTAAACACCAAATCGACTTAAAGATGTGTTTCTGGAATTCAGAAACAGTAAGTTTTGGAATGCTTTTGAACCTCCATCCAGGTCCAAGGCTGGGAAATAAAAAGCTGCTCCTTTGTCCTGACCAGATTCAATCAGTTCTCCCTGCTTGCTTTTCGTGTAGCAAACTAAAGTCGCAGATGCCATATGGCCTGAGAAAAAAGCCTTAGGAATAGGCATTCATGTGCAGATGACACTAAAACCAAAATTGCCTTTAAAAAATCATGAAGGCCTGTCATACAGGCAACAGAGACAGCCTGAGAAACCTCAGAAATTCCGCAGAGCAGGAAATGACTACTGTTTCCCACCTCTCAGGGCAAATTATTACTTGAAAAAAGAAGTATAAATTTTATTGAAAAGGTAGCATGAGAGAAGATAAAACTAGACAAAACTGACATTGAGGAACTACAAAGATGGAAGCGTGTGCAGAGCGCAGACAGCTGGAAGATGCACAGCATGAAACAGGGCATATGCTCAAGGCAGCATAATTCTAGAAAGCATCTCAAATGAACTGAGTAGTTGCTACTGGATTTGGAAAAATAAAAGTTTAAAGAAACACCAAGAACCTCACAATTATGTTTTCCATAGGCTGCAATCAAGAAAGAAAAAGGAAAAGGAATAAAAGAATTTGTGGGCCTGAAAGAGAGAAAGTTAAATTTGTAGCCTCCAATTCTAAGGTGCTTTACACGGTGTACAATACCCTGGTTTGGAGGGTTTTCGTACTGCCATCCTCAGAACATTAAACATTTCATTTCTTTTTGACAGTATCCGTTAAACCTTCCGTAGTATTCTCCAACCCTGTCTGCCATTCCATTCTCTGTAAAGAGGTAAAACCACCTCTGTGCTCCAAGTCAATTCTTAAACTTAAAGGTTACTCCACCTCTACGGCTGTACCTCAAGGGGAACAGGGAAAATCATGCCTGTTAAAGTCCCTTGGTCTTCAGTGCCAAGAGGGTCTTATGTCCTTTCTCTTACTGATCCAGTGGCAGGGCCACGCTTTTTAAAAGCCCCGCTTTCAATAATCTTTTAAGAGGCACGATTTCCTTTTGAAGACTCGCACACAAAATGAAAACAAAACAGAACAGCCATTTTCCTTGTCTGATTTTTCCCCAGGAAGTAAATACCACCAGTCTTTCTGCAAATAAAAGCAACTCTCACTGAAAGGTCATCTTCTCCTAGGGGCATCTCTGCCTAGGGACAGTTCAGGGTAAGATGAAGGAGCCACTAAAATGGAGTAAATTGTGCCAATGGCTTTAGTACCTGTTACATCCCTCAAGATGAGCCAAGCTGCAGGCAAGCCTGCCTTGCCAGCTCCTACAGTTCTATCATACAGCATTGTCATTTTTGCTCGTTTCTCCAATATTTTAAGCTCTTGGATGAGAGCCTAAGTTTCTTCTCATTAAAAAATTATAGGCCTCAGAGAAAATGTGTCACAAGTGTGTCCAAAATTTCAGGCTTATGATAAATGCACACTTTTTTCCCCCTCTCTACTATCTTGAGTTTACATCAGACCTCAGACAGTGTTCTGACAAAACTGTAGGCTGCCAAGTTAAGGCCTTAAGTTGTTCTAGAGGCATTTGTATTTTTCCTAAAGAAAGCGGCAAAGAAGACTTCCTGATTTTTAACAAACTATATAAAACCACAACTAAATAGCCCAAAGAAATCAAAAGGTTATTACTAGGATATGAGAGACTGAAAAACAGAAGCTATTCCTTTAGCGTACAAGAAATAGTGGTCACATATCGATGTCATGTTGCTCGAGCTTAAATATATATATATGTTTTAATCATGATTCATTAAATATTAGGCAAAACTGAACATTACATGTCTTTGAGTTGATATTTTCTTCCAATATTTTTGTAAGCTTAAACGAAATCAAGAAAACGTTTTATAACTGGGTGCATTGCATCTGTAATTTTACTTCAGGGAATTTCGTATAGTTAGGCACAGACAGAACAACTTCTGGATCCAGCGAGGAAACATCCCTTCACTTTCCATTCAAGT